CCTAACCAGAACTTTGCTGGAGGTCCTGACCAGAACTTGGCTAGAGATCCTGGCTAGGCTGCTGATCAACTGAACATTGTCTCTGTGTCATTCCTTCTTCGCCGACTCCATCCACACCTTTGGGGACCCCTGGACCTGCTGGGGTTGGACCCCAGCAGAAAGGGAGTGAAATGACAATTCTTGGGGGAAGGGGGTGTGGGAAGAGATTGGACAAAAATCTTACGCCTATGGATGAGGACAATGGAGGGGGTAAGGGCATGGGTTTGGGTGGGAACCGGGGGGAGGAGAGCTATGGGTGTAAAAAAGAGGAACAACTGTAATAATCTGAATAAAGATTTATTTTTTTAAAAATTATTTCTAGGTATTTTATGCAAATGTGAGTTGATCTGTTTTATTAATGTTTTATTCTTATAGTTCATTATCTACACTAATAAAAGAGAAACAATGCAAATCAACCAACAAACTGCTACACCCGCAATCCACGCCCACCAGCCAATCAGGAGCCAGTATGCAAATTTACCCAACTAAGATGGCCACAACCATGGAGCTGGAGTGAGCAGGAGGCTTGGGTTGCCCCCAGCAATGGAGGAAGCCAAGCTTCCTGCCTGCCCTGGCCGGCCCTGGGCTCCACTCAAGGATATTTTTTGTTTCAAGATACCCTGTGGGGGGCATGGCCAGCCTGCAAACAGCCATCAGCCCCTCACCCAGGCTGGCCAGGCACCCCTGTGGGAACCCCCACCCTGAAGGGGGTGTGGCCTGCTTGAAAACAGCCATCAATCAGCCCCTCTCTTAGGGGGCCATACCCCTCCAGCGTGTATTTTTGCTTCCTTAAGATTTTCTTATTAGCATTTTCTTTCCTCTAGCTTACTTTATCATAAGAACACAGTATATAATACATATCATATACAAAATATGTGCCAGTTGACTTTTTGTGTTATCAGTAACACTTCGGACCAACAGTAGGCTATTAGTAGCTAAGTTTTGGGAGAATCAAAAGTTATATGTGGATTATCAAATGTGGAGAGGGTTCAGTGATCCAAATTCCCACATTGCTCAAGAGTCATTACTCAAACTTCTATAATAAAGAGATCAGTAACACTTTGTTAACTTTAAAATCCTGTAACATGCTTGTAACCAAAGATGATAAAAAATGGCTAATAAGCACATGAAAAGATGTCCAACATCAATTATCATTAGGGAAATGCAAATTAAAGTAACATGAGATACATACCCAGTAGAGTGGATAAAATAATTTTCTTAAAAAGACGGTAATACCAAGTGTTAACAAGGATGCAGAGCACCTGTAACACTCTTATATTGCTGGTAAAAATGAAAAATTGGACTTTGAAAACTGCCTGTTTCTTACAAAGCTAAACAGAAACTTACCATACCACCCTGGAACTACACTCCTGGATTTTTATTTCACTAGGTAATTATCTATAGATCACACAAAAACTTATACATGAATACTTAGAGCAACTTCAATTTTAATTTCAAAACCTAGAAACAACTTAAGTGTCTCTCAAGTACAAATAAATTATGATACATCCATACAATGAAATATTACCCAATAAAAAGGAACAAACTATGGACACATATAACAATATGGATGAATCTCAAATGCATGTGCTTTGTGAAAGAAGTGATATTCAAAACGCTACAAATTGCATGACTCCATGAATGAATTTTTTGAGGGGTTGATGAGACCATTTTACATCTTGATTATATCTTGCAATTGTCAAAAATTGTAGAAGTATACACTAAAAAGAGTGAATTTTACTGTATATAGATTTAAATGACTTTTAATAACTCTACACAAACAGAAAAGGTTTTCTACCTCACATTAGTTTCATCATTAAATTCTTCAGCCCATTTTTTCCTTGATTGTGCAGTAGTAGAACCATCTAAACGATAATAGTCAATATTTCGGAGCCACTTCCCTTCACCTGAAAATTTAACAAGAAACAAAGAAAGAGATTTGATATATACTGTTCTCCTAGTAATAACATATTTTCTTCCTTGCTGAATGTTTAAAAGCTGATTATCTGTATTCTATTTGCATAGCAAAACACATTTTTTAATCAAGGGGTAATTCACTGTATTACAAATAAATTCACCACACATTTCCTTCTACGAGATATTGAATAACAAAGATACTTTAAAAAGTATATCATCTACATGTGAATTTCTTAACACATTGTCTTGACTAGAATCCTTTAAAACTGTCAAAAGAAAATGTTAAGTTGCATTATGCCCATGAAGCCTGTTTTTTATTGAATCTGTAAAAATCCAAGTTTTCCCTTCTTATTAACAAGTTCATACTGATAAGATAAAAAACAGAGGCATATAATATAATCACTCATTCACTGAACAAATATTTACTGAATGCCTATTATGTGCCAAAATTATTCTATAGCCTAGCAACAAATATTGGCATATGTTCCTATTTTATGACAATTGTGTGTGTGTGTGTGTGTGTGTTTGTAAGGATTGCAACTTTGTAAGTTAAACAGTGGTCAGACACATTGCCTTTTGTACAGTGAGGTGAAATTTTACCCAGTACTTACATTGATATTAAATTACCAAGGGATTAAATGCTTATGACATACATAATTTCCATTCCAATTCTTTAACTTTCAACATAACACTATTTCACCTTCGAGAAAAATTGACATCATATTCTAGAATCTTAACATAAAAACAAGTTGACAACATGAAGATTTATATATTGACATGTTTATTACTTACCTATATCTTTTTTGTTTTTTTCTTATATTTTCACCTATATTAATAACCTAGAATTTCCTTAATAAAAATTCATTAATGGTTAAGAAAGTCAATTTGTTTATTTAAGTTTGTATCTTTTTTCTTAATCCTCACCCAAGGATATTTTCCATTGATTTTTAGAGATAGTGAAAGAGAAAGGGAAAGACAGAAAGAAATATCGATGTGAAAGAAACACATTGATGGTTGCCGCCTTCATGCACCCTGACCAAGGACCAAGACAGGGAGGAGCCTACAACGGAGGTACATGCCCTTGACTGGAATTGAACCCAGGACCCTTTGGGAAATCACACCCGGGACCCTTTGGGGAATTGAACCTGGGACCCTTTGGTCTGCAGGCCGATGCTCTATCCACTGAGTCAAACCGGCCAGGGCTATTATCTTTCAACTGGGGGAAAAAAAAGGCATACACATCGAAGAAAAAAAGAATTTGAGTTGGATAGCAATGTAAGAGACGGGAGTCACATTGCATTAACTGTTCACTTCAACAGGATAATTATTAAAGTAAATATGCTAGTCATAACTGAACAGCATATATATTTTAATAAGTATTTCAAGATACTCACCTTTCGATATCACAAATGAACAATTTTACGAACACTTTTGTGAATACAATAAATAAAAACTGTGATATAGTCAGTATAGGTTAGCAATAAAATATATACACTTTGGAGTCAGATGTCCTGAGTTTAAATCACAGTTTCATCATTTACTAGCATTTTCACTTAAGGCAAAGTAATTAAACTCGTTGTGCCTCAGTTTTTTATCTTTAAAAATGGGAGATAACAAGTGTACCTATTGCATAGTATTACTGCTTATTAAATGAATTAATATAAAAAAGACCTCTTCAAACAGTACCTGTCACAAAGTAATTAAACTTATTGGGTACTTAATATTATCACCCAAGATTCCATACCTAATTATATCTATCTCCATTATGGCACATATATGTGTCTGATCTCTCTCTATAACATGATTTTCTATAATACACCTTGAACCTAGTTCAGTACCCAAAACACAGTACTAATTAATAGTCATAGTAGTAGTAATAATAGCAGTAGTAGCAGCAGCAGCAGTAGTAGTAGTAGATACTCAAAAGATAAACTGAACTAATTGATGGTTAAAAAAAATATTTGCTGGCCTGCCTGGTATGGCTCAGTGGTTGAGTGATGACCTATGAATCAAGAGATCATGGTTCTGGTTCAATTCCCAGTCGGGGCACATGCCCAGGTTGTGGGTTTGATCTCTAATGGGGAGGGGATGTGCAGGAGGCAGCTGATCAGTGATTCTCTTTCATCATTGATGTTTCTATCCCTCTCCCTTCCTCTCTAAAATCAATAAAAAAAATATAAAAACAAGTATTTACTGAAGGTAATTTATAAAACTAGATATGAACTAGTAAGCATATGGAAAAATATTCAACCTTATCAAAATAAAAAATATAAATTAAACAAATTTTAAATTAAACAAAAACAACTGTTCTTACCCATGAAAGATGAAGAAAATGTAGTTATAGTACTACAGGTATATAGTAATATGGGCATTTTGCTACTTTTTCATGATTGTAGAGTAAATTGATATAACTTTTTTTTGTAATATACCCTTTAAGATAATGAAGCACTGTCAGAATATAAAATCTAACTAACAAACCTAATGCACAGTTATAATAGAAAAACATACTTATAGTTCTGGTCAAGATGGCAGAGTAGGAAAACACTGTGCTTGTTTCCTCCCACAACAGCATCAAAATTACAACTAAATTATAGAAAACTACACTTCAAAACTATCTCCAGTCTAGCTAAACAAAATTCCTATAACTAAGGACATAAAGAAGAAGCCACATCCTTACTGGTAGGAGGGGGCAGAGAGGCAAAGTGGGCTGGACCCACACCCACACGTGCCAGTTACATCAGGAGGGCTATATCTGCTGCAGAGGTAATACCTGAGAAACAAAAGGTGCCAGCCCCACACTGAGCACTCTAGCTCAGAGCACCAGTGCCAGGAAGAGGAGTCTCCACAATGTCTGCCTGAAAATCAATGAGAATTCCATCCAATTGAGACAGAGGGCTGCTGCAGACCCAGGTGTCCTCTTAAAGGGCCCACACAGAGACTCACAAAAACTTGCTAAGCTCCTGTGAAGTGACAGCAGGCAAATAAAGCACCGGGGACATTCAGAAAGGAACGAAATTTTTTGGAGGGGAAGCTCTCCTTTCTTGATCCTTCCCCTCACACAGTCTGCAGGCAAAGGCTGGTGCCAAACCTTAGTCTCCATTAATCTAACACTGCTCGCCTCACCTCATCTGGCTCAAGTGACCAGGGAGATAGCAACACTGGGCCTCACAAAATATCCATTACATAGGGTCACCCTGCCAAGACTTGGAGACACAGCAGACCTACCTAATATATAAAAAAACCCACATGGAGTGAGCCAAAATGGGGAGACAGAGAAAGATGTCCCAAATGAAAGTGGTGTCATAATTCCCCGTGACACCACTCCCACCAAACTAGCCCACATGCCAGAACCTTTTCAATAGCTATTAACACAAGTGGCTGGCTTCCACCTATGCTACAGACTTTCCTAAAATCTATCAAAAATCTATAGATTCAAAACAAGCAACGGGAGGGGGGAGCCTTGGAAAACCCTGTACCTCTTGGTAAGTGGCCCCAAGCCAGGCATAGTGACAACTACCTTAGTTTCACAGCAAAGCCTCTTCCAGGTGCCTCAAACACAGCACAGACAGCTAACAACCACAGATCACTTTGTAGTTGCCACCATGTGGCCCAAGGCTAGGCACAGGCAGCAGATAAACTTGGCCTGCACTAGAGCCCATCCCAAGAGCCACCAGAATGAACATACCTGGTAACTGACTTTAGACAGCACCAGAGCACCACCCATTGCCTACAATAATCACACAACCAAAAAACCAACTCGGCAAGCACCAGAGCACCACAGCACCAATAAAGCAACCCCCCCCCTCCATGGAGTCAGCCCCCACACATTAGCTCATCCACTGTAGTCAAAGCCAGTCCTCACTGCCAGTCAGCATAAAGATCAATCCCAGATACAGACCTGCCAACAGCAATCAAGGCTTGATAACAACAGGAAGGCACACAAAATCCATACAAGGAATACCCTTGGAGCATCTGGCTCAAGTGAGAAGGGAGATAGCAACACTGGGCCTCACAAAACATCCATTATATAGAGTCACCCTGCCAAGACAGAGATATAACAGATCTACCTAATACATAGAAAGAAACACAGGGAGTTAGCCAAAACGGGGACACAGAGAAAGGTGTCCCAAATGAAAGAACAGGACAAAATAACAGGAGGAAAAAACAAAATGAAAAAGAGGCAAGCAATCTATCAGATTCCAGTCAAGGGCATGTACTTTGGTTGAGAGCACATCCCCAGTAGGGAGTGTGCAGGAGGCAGCTGATGGATGTTTCTAACTCTCTATCCCTCTCCCTTCCTCTCTGTAAAAAATCAGTAAAAATGTGTTTTTTAAAAAGTGGGCAAAGGACCTACACAAACACTTCTCCAAACAGGACAAGCAGATGGCCAAGAGACATTATGAAAAAATGTTTAATGTCAATGATCATCAGAGCGATGCAAATTAAAACAATGAGATTATCACCTCACACTTGTCACAATGGCTACCATTAACAAATCTACAAATGAAAAGTGTTGGTGAGGATGTGGAGAAAAGGGAACTCTAGTACACTGCTGGTAGGAATGTAGATTGGTGCAGCCTTTATGGAAAACAGTATGGAGTTTCCTCAAAAAATTAAATATGGAACTGCCATTTGACCCAGTGATCCCACTTCTAGGAATATATCCTAAAAAACAAAAGGACAAACCAAGCCAGCAAGTAGCTCATTGTAGATGTGATCAAGTACAGGCCAGGCCAGAAAGAAGAAATGAAAATAATTCATTTCAACTTCTATGTCATTTACTAAATAAATGGCCTCTTATAATATAATTTGAAATATTTATTTAAAAATTGTCTTTAAATGACAGGAGAAGGGCTCGTAGAAAAGGTAACTTTAAAGAGGCAACAGAGCAATGAAATGGCTGACTTTGTTCCCTCCTCAGTCACAGAACTTAACATTTTCACCACTAATAATGAACAACATAAACTGATGGACAAAAATAGATCCAGAG